ATTAACATGTAGTAAGTAGCAAATAGGCCCACACCCCGAACCTTGTGGCACCCCGCATTTCACCTCATGCGCCTCACTAAGCGTGTCACCAACCTTTACACGGAAAATGCGCGATGTGAGATAGTCACGGAACCACTGGTTTAGCGGCTGTCCCACGCCACATTCGTCCATTCCATTTAAAAGTGTTTCTGTATCTAAGGTATCAAATGCTTTTTTGAAATCGTAAAAAATAGCAACAACAAATTTTTTATTTTCTAAATTCGAATTAATTTCATCAGTGAATTTTGATAATAAAGTATTAGTGCTTTTGCCCCTCTGAAAACCGTGCTGACATTCATTTAATATGTTATTTTTTTGCAAATAAAACCCTAGTTGATTTGTTATGCATTTCTCGATAATTTTGTCAATACTTGATAATATAGCAATTGGTCTATAGTTTGAAAAAACTTTTCGATCACCCTTTTTATGGACTGGACGAATTATGGCTTCTTTTAATTTATTCGGAAACCTATGTTGCTTTACCGACATGTTAACTATATTAGCTATGACGGGACTTACTTTGTCAACAACTAACTTTAAGTCTGACATCCGTACGAGTACAGTTCCCGGCGATTTATTTTTATCTAACTGATTAATCACACGTTTGACTTCTCCATTACTGACCGGTTGCCATCTCATACATACATCAGGTCTATCAACGTAATTGTCCCTTACTAACCATTTTTCTGTACATGTGTGCCTTATGAGGTCAACTTCACTTAAAAAGTTATCAGCAAACTTATCACAAAATTCTTTTACATTGCCTTGGTTTTCCATATTAGACAGTATTAAGTTGTCTAGTGATTTTCTATCATTACCCAATAAACTTTTTATCTTATCCCATAATTTCCTTATATTTTTGTTACAGTCTAGTATATTCTGTTTATCATATTTCATCTTACATTTAAAAATTGCCTTACTACATTTATTCCTATATTTAGTATAATTCAATCTTTTTATCATATTTTTTGGTTCATTGCACCATATAACAAATAACCTATCTCTTTTAAAAATCATTCGTTTTAAGTTTTAACTTATCCATTCTTTATTTCTAACACTTTTATTTACCCCAACTGTTTGCGATTTGTAACATTCATTATAAATATTAGTAAAAATACTAGTAAAAGCTTCGTACAACTCAACTGGACACTTAATGTTTAATAAATCATCAAAATTTGTTAAAAGTAATTTTTCTCTAACCAAACGATTATTCAGAACGCACCTATTAACAGAGCGCATTGGCATACGACTATCAGAGTGGGTGACATGACTCACAGAAGGAGCGCGTTTCCTTTGTATCGCTGCCGTGATATAGTAGTGGTCAGATACCTTATGTTTTATTACAGCTGATTCAAGTAATGATAAGGGTGCCCTTATATAAATATGGTCCAAACACGATTCTACAATGTTACCCATGACTATTTCCCTTCGTGTTACGTCACATATGCACCTGGCAAAACCATATTCCGCCATTATATTTTCATACAATTTAACATTGTTATCGTGGTATTTTAAAAGGTCTATATTTATGTCACCACAGATATATTGCTTTTGAGTGCTTAGGTAATTAGCCCAATAGATTTCTTAATTCAACAAAAAATTCTCGAATTCTGTCTTGGTTGCGGAATCGAGGAGGCCTATAAATAGAAATTAAATAAATATGCTCCCCATTAACGTTGAGTGTAATGGAAACGCACTCCGCCGAGCGCATAACACTTGTACTACTCGCGAGCTCAGCCGTTTCGCTTACACGCGCAGTGAGCTCAACCCGCGAATACACAAGTACACCCCCTCCGCTGCGTCCCTGTCGAGTATAAATATTAACTTTGAATCCAGGAATTTTGTAGAAAGATAATACAGAATAATTTATGTTTGGTTCAGTTATCACTATGACATCCAATTGGCTCAAATCACTACCGAGAGTAACTAGAAATTCATTGAAATGTTTTTTTAAGGATCGAATATTTACATGTAATAAACATAAGTCTTTGATATTGTGCAATTGTTGCACCCACGTATTTAAGCTATCAAGACACGTATAACTTACAGATTCATCGTGTAATATGGAGTCTATATTGCTTATGTCCGCGAACTTTATATGACAAATAAACACTATAATAACTAACTATAGTTATATTTTCACTTTTTGTTGAGTAGGTCACAAATATCACTTTCAGCTCGCACGCATATTGCTTTTTCACCTTCACATTTCTTCACAAGAATTTTCCCGTTCGAAACCCATATGTATTTGTAAATTCCTTGGAGCTGTTTCTTAGTACACCATAGTAGGGCTCGCGTTGTCTTGGTCAAGTCTTCGTTTATGTAGATTTTGTTCAAAGCCGAACCATTTGTAATCATATTACTCGTCGTTTCTGATAAGTTGCGACGTTGGGCAAGCCAGCTGTCCCTCGACCTGGTACCTGTAGTCTTAAAGCCCACGATAATGGACGCTGGTTTGGTACTTTCTTTTCGTGATCGAGTACGTCTAGCCCATTCTATATCCGAACTGCTCACATTGATAATATCTCCTATTTTTGAGACAATCTCTGTGACATTTTCACCGGGAAGCTGTTCAATACCTACAATCTCAATATTGTTTTTACGAGATGCCTGCTCGAATTCGTGTAATTTTTGTTCGAGGGCGGTATTTTGTTTTTGCAAATAGACGCTTTTGTTGCTGACATCAGCGATAGTTTTCTCAAGCTTATGTATTTTATCTTTTGATTGTTCATGTTCTACGATCAATATATCATACTTATCGGAAAGCATACTCAAACTTTGCGTAATGGAATCAAGTTGTTTTTTGAACCCGGGAATGGCAGCCACTTTTAGCTGTATGTCCTTGAGAATTTTAGTGTAGTCCTGTGAGTATTCCTCTTGTTCTTCTTCTTCCGATCCATCGTCTTCACAGTTATTACAATAGATCCGATTCCTCCCATTTTTTATGTCCGCCATAAGACCCTTAACACAACCTCTATGAAAAGTTCCTTGACACGGTCCTTGGCAAATGAAGTGAGATCCTTTTTTAGCTAAATTCTTTTTACATTTTTGACACTCCATTTTTGACGCGTATTCAACAATTACAGATATGTAGGTATATCGAAAGATTGCGCGAGCGCACCGCTTAAGGAATTCCCTGCGCGCGTACACTCGGGTCAGCGTTGAGAATGAGACTGATGCCATTGGTCATAGCCTTGGTCTTTAATGTGTTCACCACTAATCCTACATTGCCACTTTCTCTAACGAGGTCACACAGCAGATTTCCGGTTCCGGTCATTGAACTGATTAGACGAGCGTCAACGTTCTCCGCGAATATTTACTCGAGTTTTGTGCAAAAACAAGTGTAATCAACCGTATTTTAACCAAGACTGCTGAACAAAACACAAACGGGGAATATCAAGAACAAAAAACAGTAGAAACCAACATTAAGGTGAAAATTGTACAACAAACAATATTGAAACATAACCTAAAATTGCAAAATCATTGAAGGGAAGTGAACAACACACCATAAACAACTTTCAAGAAGTGACATTAACAAAAGTGTTGCCTACCAGAATTCAGTGCTACTTAACGAAACCTAGTGTTGCCAAACAGAATCTTGGGCTACCAACTAAAATAAAGTGTTGCCATAACAGTAAAATTTCCCTAAAAATGGAGGAAAAATATATGGAAAAGCTAATATCAATACTAGATAAGAAACTCAATAATCAAGCTCTTCTTACAACAACTTCAGTGAAGAAAAATGTAATGGAGGCGCTTGATGAAAAGATGAAATTTATTATGGAAGAAAATAGTACCCTCAAAACAAAAATATCTGAATTAGAAATGGAAGTAAAGTTTTTGAAAGATGAAAAAAGGAAAAACAATTTAGTATTTTTTGGAATAGAAGAAAGAGGTAAAACCGAATATGAGCTTGTGGATTATATCAAGGACGTCATAATGGACTTGGAAATACACTTCGATAGTAATGAAATCAGTAATATATACAGAATTGGGAAACAGGTCGACAACAAAAACCGCCCGGTCGTAGTCACTATTACTACGCTATGGAAAAAGCACTTGATATTGCGAAACAAGTCCAAACTTCCACAAGGAATATATATTAAGGAAGATTATTCTAAAGAAGTGCTAGAAAAACGCAAGCTGCTACAGTTGCAGGTTGAAGAAGAAAAGAAAAAAGGAAATGTAGCATTCACAAGATACAATAAATTAGTAGTAAAGAAAAACAGAGATAACTACCCAGAAAAGAGAAAAAGAGAGTCAGGCTCGCCAAACAAATCAAATGAAAAGCAAGCTACCACTATACTTTTCAAGACACAAATCAACTCAGCGACCAAAACTGTAGGAAAAGACACTAAAAGACCTAACATGATCAGCTATGTGGAAAGAGGAAGATCAGCTTCGATATCTGAAATACCAAAAAACCTGTAAAAGACATCGACACCCGGAACCGAGACAATACAACATCAATAAAACAAACTTTTTCTAAAGGCACCCCAATCCGGCCAGTCACCGTGGGGGAAGAAGACTATTACCCTCCAACTAATATCCAATTACACATTCTTCCTAAAAAACATCGCCAAGTGGCAAATAAAATACACATTGCTACATACAATACGTTGTCTTTAAGAACCAATGAGAGTCTAACGGAACTAATACTAGCTCTAGAAAATGTAAAGTGGTCAATACTGGGTTTGAGTGAAGTCCGACGACTAGGGGAGAGTATAGAAGACCATGGGCATTTTATATTTCATTATAAAGCAGAAACCCTAGGCTTAAAAGGAACAGGATTCTTAATAAAAAATGAATTAAAACCATTTATTGACGAGTTCATTGGCGTCTCAGAGCGTATTGTTATACTTAATATATAATTACCTCCGAAAAACGATTGATGGTCGATTGTGCAAGTCTACTCTCCAACTGAAAAATCAAGTAGAACAGAAATCGACACCTTCTACTCCATGTTACAAGACGCGATAATCAAACACTCGCACAACAATTTAGTAGTGATGGGAGATTTTAATGCAATAACAGGGGCAAGAGGAGACGGAGAACAAATGATATTGGGTCCGTATTGTTCAGGCAAAAGAACAAGAAATGGGGAGAAACTTGTCCAACTGGCATATGAAAACAACTTAAAAGTACTAAACACTCTTTACAGAAAACGTGAGAACAACAGATGGACATGGATATCTCCAGATGGTCACCACAAAAACGAGGTAGATCACATACTAACAAACAAAAGTAAAGACTTTCGGGACTGTAGAGTTTTAAACAATATTAATTTCAACAGCAACCACAGGATGCTAAGAGCTAAGTTACAAATAAACACACTCAATAAAGATAGACCCTTTAAAGTAAAACAAACCAACAGCTTAACACTAGAAATTACCGATTCACTAAAAGGAAAGCTAGAACAATTCATAGAAAAAACAAAGGATTTAGACATACAGAGTAAATACAATAAATTCGAAGAACTCCTCTATACTACTAAAAAAGGCAAAATGGAAAGTAAAAACAACAGGATAAAATGGATAACAAACAAAACTAAAGAACTGATAAGAAGTAGAGCAGACCTTATATGTAACCCTGAAAAGACAAAAACTATAAGAAAAGACATACCTAATTTAAGTAATAAAATAAAAACACACATTAGAAAAGACCGTCAGAGATATAGATTGGAACAACTGGAAAAATGCATACAAAGAACCGGAGGCACCAAAAAAGCAGCTAAACTACTATTGGAAAAACGAGATTGGATACCAAATTTAATAAATAAAAGTCATAAATGCGAGAAGCGTCGCCTTGAAATCATATCAATAGCCACTCAATTTTTTGAAGAATTGTATTCAAGGAAATATACTGCACAGACAGCAATCCTAACAGGAGGAAATGAAGTACCGGATATAATACGACAGTAGGAATTTATAAAAGTAGGCGAAGGTTATACGAGCTTTATGATGAGAGATCATATAATAGTAGTGTTATATTTAGAGATTATGTAAAAACATATTCTAAAATATTTAAAAAAGTGTGCTCCACTGCTAAGGCTTTACATTTAAGCAACAAAATTAAAACTGCATCCGACAAAATTAAAATGACCTGGAGAATAATAAATAGTTAAACGGGCAAGGTCAAACCGCGCAACTCGGATATTCAATTGAATATTAACAATAATTTAACGCGATTTGATCAAGAAGTTGCTATGGCTTTTGAGAAACATTTTACTGATGTTCCTTTTTTGACAAAAAAATCATTAAATTCTTCTCCTACTGTCGCCGAATCAATGCTCAAACAAAATGTAAAGGCTTGTTCAAACACTTTAAAATTCCATAGGGTACTGCCAAAAGATATCGTTAAATATTTTAAATCTATTGATGTTAAGAAAACGGCAGACTTATGGGGGATTTCCGTTCAAGTTATTTTATCTATAATAGATACATTAGCACCTTATCTAGCCACTATATTTAATATAAGCGTCGAATCTGCTGTGTTTCCTGATTTAATGAAAGATAGTAAAGCCATACCTATATTTAAATCTGGTAGTACATTAGACCCCGCCAATTTTAGATCAATTTCTGTACTACCAACATTAAGTAAAATTTTTGAAAAAATTATTTTAGATCAGATGTTAAGTTTCTTTAATATTAATAAATTGCTACATAAAAATCAATTCGGTTTTACAAGGGGTCGCTCGACAACTGACGCTGGAGTTGAGCTTATTAAACATATTTATTGTGCATGGGGAAATTCAGAGGATGCTTTGGATATATTTTGTGACCTTTCCAAGGCCTTCGACTGTGTTCACCATGATACATTAATCAGGAAGCTACAGTACTATGGTGTCAAGAACACAGCGCTTAAACTTATTATTTCATATTTAAGTAATAGAAAACAGAAGGTTATTATCAATGGTAAAAGTTCTTCCGGGTCACCTGTACTAATGGGTGTACCTCAGGGCTCGATTCTCGGCCCATTCCTGTTTCTGGTGTATATTAATGACTTACCTCACCTTGTAGGGGATAGTCATGATATAGTATTATTTGCTGATGATACTTCCTTGATATTTAAACTTAAACGTCAATCATTTAAATGTGACGAAGTGAATAATGCTATATCAAAATTAGTGCATTGGTTTAACGTTAATAATCTGCATTTGAACGGAAATAAAACTAATTGTGTTAAATTTACAACAACGAATGTTAAAAATCTTAATACCAATGTGTTTTTAAATGGGGAGGAATTGAGCCCTGTTGTATCCACTGTTTTACTTGGCATCACTCTTGACGCAAAGCTACAGTGGGGCCCCCATATATCCAAATTAGCAAGCAGACTAAATTCTGCAGCCTATGCTGTAAAAAAGATTAGAGGTCTCACTAGTGTCGAGACAGCTAGATTAGTTTATTTTAGTTATTTTCATAGCATAATGTCTTATGGGATTTTGCTATGGGGAAATGCGGCTGATTCAGAAACTATTTTTGTTTTACAGAAGAGGGCCATTAGAGCTATTTACAATCTAAAACCGAGAGAGTCTCTTAGAGATAAATTTAAAGAAATTAATATATTAACTTTGGCATCTCAGTATATTTACGAAAATTAAATGTATGTTCACAAAAACAAAGATAGTTTTAGTAAAAGATGTGATATACATTCTGTAAATACTAGGAACAAACACAAGCTAGTGATACCAGTTTCTCGACTCCACAGGGTCAGTAATTCATTCTTGGGGCAATGTATACGCTATTACAACAAGGTTCCGGAAAGTGTACAGGTTCTCTCTATTACCAAGTTTAAATGTTTTATTAAGCTGAAACTGTATAAAAAGGGTTATTATAGTGTAAATGAATACATGGTTGATAATAACTCCTGGGAATGAGGTGATCGCTTCCAAGCAGTTTCTAAAATAAATTTTGTAAATAGTTCGTAATCATTTACATTGTAAAATTTATTTAAAAAAAAGTCCCGCTGGGTTTCTTGCTTGTTCTTCCCAGGACAGAGGTTTTTTTTCGAACCAGTGGTAAAGTAAAAAATGACTTTCAATAAGAATTACACATGTAATGTATATTGAATAAAAAATATTCTATTCTATTCTATTCTAAAAAATACACTAAGAAATAGAAAAAGCTGTGAGAACTCAAAAAGCAGATAAAGCTCCAGGATTAGATGGCATAAGTAACGAGTTCCTCATCCTAAATGGAAACCACCTGCTACCAATTCTCAAACATCTTTTCAATGAAGTCTAACAAAGCGAGATAATACCTTACCAATGGACAACGTCATCAATAGTACTTCTACACAAAAAAGGAGATAAAAATAACAATAATAATTATAGACCTATAAATCTATTGTCAAATATATATAAAATCTTCGCAAAAGTCATACTCTATAGAATAACTAGCACGTTGGATAAAAATCAACCAAGAGAGCAGGCGGCTTTCAGGAGCGGATACTCAACTTTAGACCACATTCATGTCATCAAGCAACTATTCGAGAAAGCCAATGAATACAACATAACATTTTACTGCTGCTTTGTGGATTACAGTAAAGCTTTCGATACAATAGAGCATGAAAAAATTTGGCAAGCACTCAAAAACCAAGGTATTGAAAATAAATACATCAGAATACTAAAAAATATCTACGATAACAGCAAGGCTAAGATAAAACTAGAGAAGGAAGGTAAAGATATTATAATAGGAAGAGGCGTACGTCAGCGCGATCCGCTATCGCCGAAACTCTTCACAGCCGTTTTGGAAGAAGAAACAGAAACTTTTTTATTCAATATAGATTATAAATAATACTTATTGAAAGTCACTCTTTTGTTTGATTACCACTGGTTCGGAAAAAACCTCTGTCCTGGGAAGAACCAGCAAGAAACCCAGCGGGACTTTTTTTTAAAAAATAACAGCTTACAATCATGATGACACAAATTAACAACACAACAAATTAGAAATAGCTTGTTAGCGATCACCTCATTTCCAGGGGTTATTATCATCCATAAATTCCTTAATATTATAATAACCCTTTTTATACAAACTTAGTTTAATAAAGTTTTTGAACTTTGAACAGGTTAAGCTTTGTATATTTTCTGGAATTTTGTTGTAAAAGCGTATACATCGCCCCAAGAATGAATTACTAACTCGATGGAGTCGAGTAACTGGTACTACTAGCTCTACTAGCTCTGGCCTGTCAATACATTTACGAAAATGTAATGTACGTACACAAAAATAAAATTAGTTTTACAAAAATAAGTGATATTCATTCTGTAAATACTAGGAACAAACACAAGCTAGTGATGCCAGTTTTTCGACTCCACAGAGTCAGTAATTCATTCTTGGGGAAATGTATACGCTATTACAACAAGGTTCCGGAAAGTGTACAGGTTCTCTCTATTACCAAGTTTAAATGTTTTATTAAGCTGAAACTGTATAAAAGGGATATTATAGTATAAATGAATACATGGTTGATAATAACCCCTGGGAATGAGGTGGTCGCTTCCAAGCAGTTTCTAAAATAAATTTTGTAAATAGTTCGTAATGATTTATATTGTCAAATTTATTTAAAAAAAAAGTTCCGCTGGGTTTCTTGCTGGTTCTTCCCAGGACAGAGGATTTTTTTTCGAACCAGTGGTAAAGTAAAAAATGACTTTCAATAAGAATTACACACGTAATGTATATTGAATAAAAATTATTCTATTCTATTCTATTCTATTCTATTCTTAACCGCCACTACACGGCCATGCTCAACGCTAATACTATACGTAAAATTTATTATATTTAGTCAAGTATTTTTTCGTAATCTAAAGTGATGGTGGTAAATTTGATTAATATTCGGGATGTATCATAAGTTGCGGATGTAGTTTGTAATTTTGGTTGCGGTGTTATGGTATTTTATATTGGCTTATTGCCAGGACGTAGTTTGAAATTTTAGCTAAATTGTTATTGTATTTCCAATTCAGATGTTTAAGTTTTCTATTACATTAAATTAGTGAACGGTATAACAGAATACACATACATTTTTTTTGGAGAGGGGGCAAACGAGCATGCGGCTCACCTGATGGTAAGTGACTACCGCCGCCCATGAACATCTGCAACACCAGGGAAGGAATTGCAGATGCGTTGCCGGCCTTTTAAAAAGGACTACGCTCTTTTCTTGAAGGTCTCTAAGTCGTATCGGTCCGGAAAATCGCTGATGGTAATCGATTCCACAAGGAAGTAGTGAGAGGAAGAAAACATCTTCTAAATCGCACAGTGGTGGACCGCCAATCATCCAGATGGTGTGGATGCTATCGGGAGTTCTGCCGCGAGGTGCGTTCGTGAAATTTGGCGGCTGGGATTAATCCGAACAATTCCTCAAAGCACTCCCCGTGGTAGATGCGAAAGAAAATGCAAAGGGATGCAACATCTCTTCGCAGTGCCAATGAATCGAGCCGATCGGACAGGGCTCGGTCGTCGACGATTCGAGCCGCTCTGCGCTGGATGCGGTCAAGTGGAAGGAGCTGCCACTGGGGAGCCTCTGCCCAGAGATGGAAACAGTATTCCATGTGAGACCGAACCTGCGCCCTGTAAAGTTGCAGGCGGTGTGCCGGCATGAAATACTGTCCCGCTTTTTAGAGGCCAATTTGGCCTTCTCTTTCAAGTGACCACGAAAGGCTTGATAACACTCCTGCTTACTGCGTAATGCAGTCTTACAGGAGCGACCAAACCAAGGCTGAGATCTGCCTCCGATGGGTACCACAGATAATGGAATAAATAGTTCCATTCCCTGTAGCACCACATCAGTGACAGAGTCAGCAACAGCGCTGGGATCATCCGGCGAGAAGCAAACCCGCCCCCATGGGTAGGATGCAAAAAAAGACCGCATTCCGTCCTAATCCGCCGACCTGTAATGCTAAACACGGCGGCAACCTGCAGAACACAACCGC